CCTTCAAAATGTCCTAACATCTTGTCTATGAACCATGTTCATGTGCTGTGCAGAGGAGCTGCTAATGGCTCATAGGCAGCTGAATAAGACGTGGAAGAATTTGCAAGATGTTCCATTTGCCAGATATGAGAGAGTACATAATGTACTGTAAACAGATATCAAACTGTACATAATGTAAACCATAATAAGTACTATTCTACAAACGTATTCCTTGCAGTTAAATATATGCAACTGTAGTCAAAGTAAACTCCCCAAATCTTAAGGTAGTATTAAACTCTCAAAACTTTTTTTCAATAATTAATCCAGATCAAACAAATATATATTGCTCAGCAATGAATTACTTTAGATTTTTGCCCAGGCTCTTAGTAATCATGTTTCCAAAAAGCTGGCTCCAATTTTCTTAGCTTGACTTCCCCGAAGTCTCCAGCAGCTGTTCATCTATTAGCTGGGAGGAAGAAGCGTGAAGCAGGGGAAGCCATTCTGGGTCTGTGAAGATGCACAGCTTACTAGCACACATAAGGGTGGCTCTATAAGACCCTGTAAGTGAGAGGAGTCACCCTAAAAACATGATATTGGGGTCAGCGAGCAGGTGACCAGCTGATTCTGCAGGACACTAACACTTTTAAACATCAATGTGCCGCCCCAATGGGGCATAGAAGTTTATTTAGATAGAAGTTTTATATAGTTTGTTTTCCCTATACCTTTTCCTATGGACGTTTTATATGTCTAGTTCACATGCTGCCATCTAGTGGCCTTTCTTGGTATCAAACATGTTCTGTGTTCCCTTTGTGATGTATTTCCTCTTTATGTAAGCCCCACCCTTCTTCCTGAGGTCAGTGCTTCCTGTGTCATGGCCACAGCTAACAGGCCACATGTGACTAGGACACATGTACTCTGCATAGTATGCTAGGAAAGGCATAATCTTTTGACCGCATAATACTGTAACCATTCATCGCTGTTATCCTGTTGTCTGCACGTACAGAATAAAGCAACCTTTGTGGATGAACACGGTATTGGTGAGTTCAGCTATCTGACAATGATTGTCCGCAGTGATTTGAATCTACTTATACAGGCCAGGCATAGAGGTCTCACAAGGGATACATCGCTATCACAACAATCGGAGTCAGAATAATCAAGGCACAGCATCCATTGTAAGTGATTTATTCATTTCAAATAGCCTAAAAACTGTTTGACTTTAATATCATTTTAAAATCTATCTATGGTCAAAAATGAAACGGTGATATATGGCTGAGCATGTAATGTGATCAGTTTTCATTTATTGCATTTTCTCAAACTCTTCCTGCCTTTAGAGAGGTGGTTGAGTTTAAGAGACCAAAGTTTGACATCATAAGAGACCTGCCAGGTTGGAACATTTTGTACAGAGTTCTGAGAAATAAGCAGGGTACCATTCCTGATGTTCTTCTGAAAATGCTGGCATGCTGCAAACATTTTAATCAATGACCTAGAAAAAGTATAAGGGCTTGTTCACACCATGCTTGAAAAATATCCAGTCCAGAACAGTTTGTTCCTGGACCAAAAAAGCATCCCAATGTATCCCTATAGTATTTCTGGGCTCTCTTCACACCAGCGCAGTCCGTTCCAGACCAGGCCAAAAAATGCTACTCGTCTCATTTTCTCTGGTCAGGAATGCACTTGAATGCATGGAAATGCAGTAAACACACTGGACTGCACCTGAAAGCCCATTTTAAGCTAAAAAAACCCCCACAGCACTGGAACGTGGCAAAAATGCACTGCATTTGCAGATCTGCTCCAGATCTGATCCCGACATGGTATTAACAGCGCCTCAGTCAGAGCATAGTCAGAATTCCAGATGGTCATGCTTGTTTCATGATAGTGTGGCTCAGAAGTACTAAAGACATAGGGATTGATTTAATCAAGGTAAATAGCTTCACTTTGCAAGGAAATGTGCGCATTGCTAGGACATTTACCCTTAGTTTAGTGAATGAGGTCAAAATTCACTTTGCAAGGAATACCCAATCATGTGCAATGATCAAAAAAAAAATTCTTGCACATGATTGGATGATGGAAGTCAGCAGAGCTGCGCCTCATACGCTGAGCTGAGAAGAAGATTCCCTTGCAACATGAATGACCTGTTTTCCTTTAGTAAATCAACACCATAGAATTAGAATGACAGCCAGGCAGTGTATATTTTGGATGGAGAGGTCAGCAATGGCACCTTGCATATTTTGACTCTACAGGTTTCCTTTAATACAGCAGAAATGAATGTGTATAAATAAACACTCCTTACCACCTCTTTTTAGTCAGGGGTGACTCCTGACATGAAGTATGTCCATGTCTGTTTTAGGTTTGGTGTTTGGAGAGGTTGGTTGTAGACAGGAGACAATGATCGGAGCCCTTTGTGTACGGCCAAATGAACGTGTAACTTCAGTGCAAGCATTTATCAGTTTACAGTTTACCATTGTAATCAAGCAGTAGCCAAGCCTGCAAACTACAATTTTGTAAGCAGCTGCTAAGCTTCCTATGCTTTCTGCAAGCACATAAAGGCTGTAAGAGCTATGCTGTGGGCTGTGAGAGAAACACTGCAATTTGTAATAACTGGGATGATGAGCCACTATTGTGTAGAAAGCACCTAAAATGTTCAGCTGTTGCATCAAGTATGTGGGGCAGGACTGTAAACTGAATGTTTTTATTTTTAAGCATGTCTAGCTAGAAAAAAAAAGACTTCAAAAGAATAATCGTTCCCGAATTAGGATTGTGAGGAATGTTTTGATGCCTTGAAAGTGAACAGATGAAAGATTGTGCCTGAGGATGCAAGTTTAGACTGTGCTTCATAAAAATAATAAAGCCCAAATCGCTTCCACCTTTAGGAGTCTCTAAGGGATGTTTCAGTGCAAATAAAACCAAATGATTACTAATGTGATAGCGATATGGAAATGACAGGCACTGGAAGTGCCACAGCGTGGAAAATGTGTACGTTTTACTTAAAAGGTTTTATTTTTACCAATGAAGTATTTATTTTAATAGCAAGCTGAACAGAGCAGTGATGTACTTCAGTCCTTCACTGCAATCAAATCTCTTTTTTGTCAGTCTAGAAAGAATAGAAAATAGTTTATTAGCTGATTGCGAACTGTTACCATAAGCAAGTCCTGTTGGGTAATGTACATGAATGGACTTTTTTTTTAATAAGCTCAAAAGAGTTCCTTCCTAATACTTAAATGAAGAACCACTGCATTCTGATTGATTGCTATGGGATATACTAATGAGGTCTTAAGAATTACAGGAGGGTCAGATGCAGCCTTTTGTAACAACATTGTTATGCTTTTAATTGTTGCTCTGGGACTTTAGTGAGTATTGTGGGAATATTGTGAACTTTTAATACACTATGTGCAATAAAAGATGTATTTTTCATGATCATAGTTCCCTTTTTCTTTCTTATTTTATCATTATTAAATGGGTAGATCATGAATTGTGTCTGTTGGCACATGGATGTATGTTTACAAATGATCACTGGATCCCCATTTTTTATTCTCTTTATTTGAATTAAGAACTCTTCACTGAACAAGATCAACTGTATGTTTCTCTGCAGTTAAAATCTGCTACATTTTCAATGATCGCATTTTCATGATCACATATTCATTAAGATTTAGGACCTGTTTGCACTTAAAGTGGACCTTTACCCCTTTTGACTAAAAATTACATCAGCATGGAGGTCTGCATGCTGATATGAAATCAGCTTATATTCATTAGCTAAACATATTTTTATTTTACTTACAATTTCTTTTTTTCTACTTCCTGGTCCACTTTCGTACAAATTATGTAATGTGCCCAAGCGTTGCATCCTGGGAAGGTTACATCAGCAGAGCATTGCTGGGACATCTCATTTGTAATCTTACCAGATCTCAGGGAAAGGCATTTTCCTTCCCTGAGATGATGTGCATGGTCACATGTCCTAGTCACATGTGCCAGAGCTCCAGGAAGTGACGAGATCTAAAAACCTGCCCTTAGTTAAAATGGCCTCTGTCAAAAGAATGGAGAGGAAAAGAAAAAAATAAGGTATACAAAGCCTGCAGTTATCTATAATAATATATCTGATTGTAGTTTCATTACTAAACAATTCTAAAGGTGTCTTTGTTGCTATTTTGAAGATATGGGTAAAGTTCCTCTTTTAATGCAAAGCTCTTAACATGGCACACATGCTTTGCTTGAAGGTAGTCCATTTATTACAATTTTTTTTTTTTTTTTGTGATATGCAGCTCACCACAGTATACACTACATGTGTTGTGCCATGGTGCTTGTGCAGTGCACTCAACTGTAGAGTGCGTTGGGTACCATTCACATTTAATGGCAGTGCACAAAGAGCAGGTATGTTTTGGAAACATGTGCCTTTTACTGCTCATTGCTGCAATGCAAATGTGTGAATAAGGCTTAAAGGATAAGTGCACTTAAAAACAAAAAAAGTGCATTACTTTCTGAACCATTGGGGAAGACAGGAATTCAGATAGTGGGTTTACACTGGATTGGATACTGACAAACATATTGTAAGCCAACACCTGTATAACCCCTCCTCTACCCAGCATGCCTCCGTTTTTGTGCTAGTGTCCTATGAGGACAGGCATCTTTTCTTCAGCTGTGCTGAGAAAGATCTATCCAAATTTTGCTAGCCTTTTTTCTTCATTTCTTTTGCCTTAGATTCTTTTTTCATTTACTTTAATCAAGAATCCCTGCTACATGAGGATGTGCTGAGGATGTGCTTGAGCTGGCCTTTACATTGCATCTGTCCGTATGAACTTTTTCCCAACCTTGCATTTAAGACTTTACCGGGACACTGCTGGACTCGATGTTAGCCTTCAGGCACTGGGCTCTGCATTGTGGTGCTTTCCAGACTTAAAGCCCATGTCCACCTTTGCTGAGGTATTTAAAAAAAAAAAATGGCAGTAATTTACACCGTGTACCTGAAGCAGGTAGCTCTTCATCACCTCATGAAAAGTAATGTGTGTATAGTTCAAGTGACCTTCTCATTGTGTGCAAAGGCAGAGCTGCTGTTTACTGATTGTGTTGCAATGAATAACGGGGAGGGGGAGAGCTGTTTAGAGTCTACTTTACATCTGACCCCGGTGTCGGACTGAGTTTCCTGTGGATACCATTTTGAATTTCTAAAAAGCCTTCACCTCTCTATTCCCACAATAAATGCTAATCACTTACAAAGGTGGAAATGGACTTTAATTATACTGTGTTAGCCAGTTATTTCCATCTTTGCAGTCTGGGACCTGCGCCTCTACCCCATTTTCTGCCCACCCATGTGGGGGTCCTGTCCATTCAGTAGGGTTGACTTTGTGGGACCAAATTCTTGAGCTCCTTCGTGGACTCGGGAGTAAAATCACATCCCCTTAACCACTTGAAGACCTTAGTGTGAGACCCCCTTCCTGTCCAGGCCATTTTTCAGTATTCAGCACTGAGGTATTTTGACATTTATTCAGTAATGCCACACCGGACTTAAATTAATTTTATATCATTTTTGGGACAGAGCATTCTTTTGGTGGTATTTAAACACCACTGGGGTTTTATAATGTTTTACTATATAAAGAAAAAAGTATTGCAAATTAAAAAAAAAAATAACTTTTCCCTACTTTGTTTACAAACATTGCAAATAAATAATCTTTATACATGTTGGGTAAATAGATACCAAACATGTCTAGCCTTAAAAATTGTGTGCGCCCGTGAAATCGCAGAAACGACCATGTCCAAAATTACCCATAGGCGACTGCTGTAAGCTGTTTGCATAACTTTGTAATTCAATAGCAATGTATACTTGTCTTTAGTATCATTATTGACTATGTAAACATTCATTGTAAAAATTATTAGATATCGCTAGATGCAAACATTGACATTTGTAAATGCTAATAACTGTTAGCACTTCTCCCTTGCAGAGCTAAGGGTCCCTAGTGTGAATCCCAGGATACTGTTTATGGAGTTTGCATGTTCTGTTCTGCTTGTTTGGGTTTCCTTCCACACTCCAAACATATGCTGGTAGGTTAATTGGCTCCTGTCTAAATTGGCTATAGTATGTGTTTGAAGGTTTATATACATGTGAAATAGGGAACTTAGATTGTAAGCTCCTTGAGGAGAGGGACTGATGTGAAAGTAGTACAGTATGTAAAGCTTTGTGTAATTTGTGCTGTACGAATACCTATAACAAATACTGTAACCTCCAATGACTAGTCTTGAATGCAGGGGCTCCTGCGCCTGTTCAGAACAATACAAAACCACTGCAAAATGACCCAAGAGTCAGTCAGTATAATAAAGGAAAATAAGTAAAGTTTTACGAATAGCGCGCCTACAGAGATACTCACTGGCTGCTTTATTAGGTACACCTCTTCAACTGCTCTTTAACACAAATATCTAATCAGCCAATCACATGGCAGTAACTCAGTACACTTAGGCATGTAGAGATGGTCAAGATGATCTGCTGAAGTTCAAACTGAGCATTAGAATGGGAAAGAAAGGTGATGGTTGTTGGTGCCAGACGGGCTGTTTGAGTATTTCAGCAACTGCTGATCTACTGGAATTTTCATACACAACCATCTCTCGGGTTTACAGAGAATGGTCCGAAAGAGAAAATATCCAGTGAGTGGCAGCTTTCTGAGCAAGAATACCTTGTTGGTGCCAGAGGTCAAAGGAAAATGGGAAGACTGGTTCAAGCTGATAGAAAGGCAACAGTAACTCAAATAACCACTTGTTACATCCGAAGTATGCAGAATACCATCTCTGAACACACAACACATTGAACCTTGAATCAGATGTGCTACAGCAGCAGAAGACCACACCAAGTGCTACTTTTGCCTGGTCTGATGAGACTCGATTTTCTGTTGCGACATTCGGATAGTCGGGTCAGAATTTGATGTAAACAACATGAAAGCATGGATCCACCCTGCCTTGTATCAACGGTTCAGGCTGGTGGAGCTTCGCATAATGGATGTGCAGCCGACAAATCTGATGCATCTGTGTGATACAAAATCTCCAAGGAAGTTTCCATCACCAGTTCTGAAGACAAAAGGGATCCAACCCAGTACTAGCAAGGCATACCTAATGAAGTGGCCAGTGAGTGTATGTAAGAGGAAGTTCACCCTATTCTTCGATTGTATCAGGCAACATTCAGATGTCTGTAGCCTACCCCTGATGCCCTCAGGCTAGACCTGATCAAGGAAAGGCTTGATTTTCTTTGAAAATTACTAATGTCTTTCCTGATACAATTAACACCTGTAGATCTTCCCCTCCTTTCTCCTTGAGCTCAAACATTCAAGTTCCTGGCATGCAAACATGCGTGCTAGTTTTCCAGTTATTCCTAATAAGATGCTAAGCTTAATTGGTGGTTTGGTTGAGCATGCATGGACAGCCTTTCTAATGTTCGTAGGCAGCTTAAAGTGTGCCTTTGCAGCCCAATTTGAACACCAGGCATGTTCCCATTCACACAGCATTCCTAAAAAGGATATTTAAAAAATGTCTTTCTTTTTTAGTTGTTTCTTCAGGATGCTATAGGCAGCTTGTATTGTTCAGAATAGCTTGCAAGATCTTTAAACCTTTTCATCTATTTTACAATGGATCATGCTGCCAGCACAGTACAGACAGGGTTAATTATGATAAACCTAATTCCCCAGCCCCCTCCTTTTAAAACGGACCTTTTACCTATATCTTTAACATAACAGCAAACACACCTTTAGAAATGCTTAGTAATGGCAATCTACAAACACATAAATATCGATAATTGCAAGCTTTGTATTCTTTGCATACCTTATTTCTCTTTTCTTCCCCAGTCGTCTGATGGTGGCCATGTGTGCTAAGGGCAGATTACTAGAGCTCCCTTTACTTCCTGGATTTCTAGCACATGTGACTAGACATGTGACCATGCACATCATCTCAGGGGATACCTTTCCCTGAGATCTTGTGAGATTACAGATGAGAGGCTCTGATAACAAGGCGATCCCAGTGTGCATTGCTTTGGCAAACTGAAGTAATTTTGCCCTTTCAAAGCAGAAAGTGAATGCTCTGCAAGTAGAGGCGGCTCTAGACTTTGTGAGGCTTTAGGCGAAACTTAAAAATTAGGCCCCAGTCATGCCCATAATGGAAAATTGATGGCTCTAAGGGGTCTCAGGAGGCTGTGTGGGGTTTCAGGTGGTCTGTGTGTAGTCTGAGGAGGTCCCAGGAGGCCGTGCAGGGTCTCGTGGGCAGGTGTGGGTGGCACTGTTTCAGGAAGGAGAAGATGTGCGTGTGGTGCTGTAAATTGGCACTGCAGTTCACAGGAAAACTGTTAAAGTCCCGCGCTCGCTGGGGACCTAGGCAGCTTTCCTATGAACTGCGGCACCTGTTTAAAGCTCTCAGGTGGTCACTGCGGGCTCTCAGGTGGTCAGTGTGTAATATGACAAATTGGCATTTAAAAATCAACTTGGGGCTTTTTAGATGCATATATCACTATAAAAACTATTAGGGTTATTCGCTAAAGGGTGAAGTGTTTGGAGGAGGCAGGAGAAGTGAACAATCTAAGACAACATAGCTGATTTTGAAAAATTCTCCAATTCAGCTCACTTTCCAGCTTAGCTATGTTGTCTTAGATCAGGGATAGTCAATCTTGGCTCTCCAGCTGTGCTGAAACGACAAATCCCATCATGCTTCTGCCTCTGGGAGTCATGCCTGTGGCTTGCAATGTCTTATAGGATTTGTAATTTCCAAGGCTGCCAACCCCTGTCCTAGATTGTTCCCATGTCCTGCCTTCTCCAAACCCTTTAGTGAATAACCCTGTAAATATTTATTGTTTTAGCATACAAATACATAGAACTATACACAACATGATAAAATGTGATTAAAATACCAAGTAAACTACAATTGATGGAGGACACTATTTAACCTCCCTGGCGGTAATCCCGAGTCTGGCTCGGGGTGAATTTTCAATGCTAGGAGCGGTAAAAAGACAGCATAATGTATATATTGAAACTACAAGGTCACAGAGCTGGTAACAGCAGATACGTTGCATTGTTTCCACAAGCTCTTTATCCTGCTTATTTGTGATTATAAATGCTGCTCCTAGGTCCTCACACGTGGTCCTATGCATTTCACCCCAGAGGAGGCTTTCTCAGGACCAACACATAGTATACTTGAATACAATATAAAATACAATCATTATACATTGTTCATAGACAACACACATGTGATGAATAAATATGTGTGTGTATATAACTTGCTTACACACTTATATACAGCACAGTCATGTATCATCGTGAAACAAGGGGAGCCAAACCAAAGGACGTCTATGCCGGGGGCCACGGAGGGGAATAAAAATAGCCAGGACACCCAACTACTATCTCTCAATACTTGATAATCATAGGAGCATGAAACGTGTCTGGGAAGAGTCAAAACAACTAAAAATTTTTAAAAAAAAAAGTAAAAAAAATACAACCCCTGTACATATATATATATATATATTATATATATATATATAATGCTGTATTTGCCTTAGTGTCCTCCATAAATTGTAGTTTACATGGTATTTTAATCACAATAATGCAATAATACAATGTTTTGTGTATGGTTATATGTATTTTTATGCTAATACAATAAATATTTAGTTTTTATAGTGATCTATGCACCTAAAAAGTCCCGATTTGCCACGGTTTTTATACCAATGTGTCTCTATGATCAGGGGTGTGGTGTGTAGTGGGTTAATTTCTGCATTACAGTGTGTAATAGACATCCTACCTTGGATGTGCTTCTTCTAGGACACTCTCCAGCTGCTCCTTAGGGTGTCCCTCTTGTCCTCCTGCTGTCTATCAGGGAACACAGACATCTCTTTGCATGGACGCTCAGGAAGACAGGAAGACCTGTGGCTGATCTGGCTGATCGGCTCCTCACTCGTGTACACCAGGGGGGTCCTACAGGCACATCATCTGACCTTAGCTGCCTGTGTCAGCGCCTGCAACACATACTGCCCAGACCCTCATCTGCTGCTCCTGGCATTGAAAAGGACACCCCTCCCCAGCGGCCGATTCACCTCTCTCAGGCTGTAACTTCCCTGCTCAGAACAGCAGAGCAGATCTACACGGAGGGAGCAGGTGAC